CTTCCTCTAACAAGACAACAACCCTAAAAACCTTTGACATCCTTCCATAATAAGGGATTGTCACATATTATAAATAAGTGAGTGTAAACTAACTAATATATTTGGAATCTTTAGTGACTTAACTCTAAGAATATTTTATAAAATTATAAATTTAATTTTGATCACCAAACTTTCCATTATCACAAATATTTATTTGAATATATTTTGGCTAACACAAAACGAATTTGTGTAAGTAAGTCCCATGTGATTCAAAGATAGTTATGAAATAAACTAACCAATCTTCAACATGTCAATCCTGACCCTTGGTGCATGACATGTGATTTTGATGCAGTTATTAGTTCCCATGAGAGATTTGGTAGATGTCCTCTTAAAAAAAGTTCTACCGATGAGTTTATTAGTTGGAAAAATAAAAATGAGCTTAAGAATGCAATGCACAATATGAGTGATAATTCTGCTTCAGGTCCTTATGGCTTTGGGGAATGTTTTTTTTCCAAGCTTATTAGGATATAGTAGGGATTGCTATGATCAATTTAGTGAATCAATTCTTTGAACAAGAAATTCTTTAGAGGTATTATCACTTTGAAGATAGACATAAAAAAATCCTTTAATACTTTAGACCGACAATATATTATTAAAGTTCTTGTTCAATTTGGCTTTGATTAAATTTTTTGTGATTGAATTCTTAGTATTTACTATTCCTCCAAACTATCAATCATGATAAATGGGAAAGTTGTAGGATTTTTTTCTTGCTCTAGAGGAGTGAGGCAAAGAGATCCTCTTTCTTTTTCTGCATTGCTAAATAGACACTTAGTAGGTAGTTATCTATGTTGGTGGATCAAGGTAAGTTGACATGCATATCAGTTCATATGAAAACCATTCTTAGCCACACTTTTTTGTGTGTATATGATCTAATGATATTCTGTAAAGCTACCATGAAAAATTCTCAAGTCATTAATAATCTTCTTCAACAATATGGTCAAAATGTTGGTCAACACACCAGTCCAACTAAGTTTAAGCTTTATGGTGGTGGTAGCTCTGGATCTAGGCTGAGGCGTATTACATGATTTCTTGGATTTACTATGGGATATATTCCATTCAATTATCTTGGAGTTCCAATATTCAAAGGAAATCCTATAACTCAATCTTTTCATATCATATCAGATAGAGTATTGGTCAAGCTAACTACTTGGAAGAATTATCTTCTTTCTATTATTAGTATGTTCAATTTGTCTAGTCAATCATATAAAACATGCTTTTGTAGAGTCTTAGGATTTATGAATAACCAATCAATCTTCTTAACAAATTGGATTCTTGCATTAAAATTTGTGTGGAGAGGTAGCATAAATAGTAGAAAGTTGATTACTAAATCTTGGAAATTTATTTGCTCACCTTTTTCTAAAAGAGGTATTGATCTGAGAGATGTTTTGACAATAAATAAAGTATCTCTTTGTTAGAAGTTGTTGACTAAAAATAATAAATGGTCTTATATGTTTATTAGTAGATAATTCATACACAAAAGCTAACCATGCATCACATCTTTTCTTCAATATAGCTTGACATTAAATATTCATTTTTCTTTATGGAGGAACATAATAGATGGTAGATTGGTAATAGGAAGGACATTTATTTATGGACTGACAATGGACCGATAAATAACATTAAATATTTATACCTAGTGTTGCCAGTGGATATTTTAATTTATGCACATCACTAATCTCAATTCAATTATCCAAAATATCAATTGGAATATTCCTTATGTCTTATCCATTTTACCTCCTCAAATTGTTAAAGATATTTTGAATATTAACTTGTCATTTGATAATACTACTGTTGATGAGCTCATTTGGACATGATATACAAATTGTGATCTATCTTTTAAAGATGCCTACAAGTGTATCAGTTGAGATCACATTGAGTCTTTTTTATCAAAATCTATTTGGCTTCCCTACCTAGCTCCTGTTAAATCATTGGAGATTTGGAAGCTAATGCATAATGTTGTTGCAACAAAACACAATCAGATTGAGAGGGAAATACATATGGTTTTGAGGTGATATCTCTACAATCATGATGTGGAAACTACAAACAACTTATTTCTTAAATGCAAACACACCTTACTTTTCTAGCATTAAATGAAGCGGTTGTTTGACATGAACATTTGTAAAATTTAAAGTTCCCAAATTCAGAATCTGATAATGACTCCATCAATACTAATTCTTTGGAAAACTGGGCAAATAATAAATGATATGAGGTTTCAATATGGTAAAATTGACTTTGATTGAGAAAATTTTCATTTCAAACAATATGTCTAAATGACATCTACTTCTTTAAAGGAGGACATGTACTCTTCAATTCACGACTTTACAATTATTAAACCATTTGACATCAAAAGTCGAACCCCTTCCCCCCGCGCACCTAAAATCATACAAGTTAATTGATATTTTTCTAGTTATAATTGAATGAAGTGCAACACATATCGAGTTTCGAGAGGAAATCCTAATATCAACTTGTGGTGAAAGGAATAATTTGGAAACATTCTTTGAGCTTTCTCAATTAAGATTGGAGTTTGCACATTTTTAAAAATTTAATTGCATGTTTGCTATCGAATATGTTAACAAGGAGAATTAGTGAAATGTTTGACTTGAAACTAACCTAATGTTGACAATTTATTCGTTTTCTAACATGAATATTGTGGTTTGACATATTTTAATTAAAAGAAAGAATACTTTACACATTATATGTTCCTTTAAATTTAAGATATCTCACATTTTCATTAAAAAAAATGCATAAATAAATAAATTAGTTAATACAATTTTTTTTAGTGATAATGACATTTGGTAAGATTCACTTGCTATTCGTGTTTTTGAAATTTTTTTTAAGAATATCTTAAGTATTTTCAACTATCGTTTTTGCTACTTATATGATGAGTTAGATTTTACGTCTCCATTCTTCTTAATTTTTTATTCAATACTTTTAAATAAAATTAAACAATTAAAAATAATTTACATAATTTTATAATATAAGTTACAGTTCTTTATTTTCATATTTACATAATATTTTTCTTAATTTACTTGTATTTCTTCTCATTTCTTTATATCTTTTATATAATAATATTTTTATACACATTATCTTTTTCACCTCACCACACCGACTTTTTTTTACAGTCAATCATAGCTTTAAAATCTATTGACTGTAATAGACTGTTGAAATACAATAAAAAGAACCAGTAAAAAAAACAATAAATTTTAATATATATTTTTATAAGAAAGATAATGGTTAACATTATTGACTTATAAATAAACAATGATATATATTTTCTTAAGAATAGTTACAGCTTCTAGCAGTAATTAAGTAATTGAATAGTAAAAACAAAACCGAGTAATTATTTTAATAGTAATTATTTTTAGATAGATAAAGCTTCCCATTGATACACATTTAGATTACCATTAGGCAATAGATTGTTTTTTTCTCCCTCCTTTTTTAACCAATGAATACTTTATGTACATAATAATTTTACATAAATATTTATCTATTTTTAAAGATTACTAGTATTAAGAAAAACAAGGTTAAATAATTTACAATAAAATAAGCAACAGGTTATATATTTTCTTAAGAACAGTTTCAACTTCTAGTATAGGTAAACGATAAAGTGAAAATAAAATATGATGACCTTAAGAAAAGTCTTACATTTAAGATATTAAAATAATTCAATAACTTTTTTAATCTTCTTTTTCTTTTTAACCTATATGCATGACACATGAGATGTTGGGTGAATGATTCTCATGCCTACTGTCTCGTGTCTCATACTATGTGTTTCTAGATGATACACAATCTAGATACCAATAAACTATAAATCACTATTCTCTGCATCTCAAATTAGTTTTTTATTTATTTTTAATTTTACATTTATTTAAAATAATAATTATTGTTTTAGAAAAATAAAACAATTTAAAAATCCTAAATTGTTTCAAATTATTTAAGCAATAAAAGGTTGATTTAGTATTGTTTAAACTAATCCATAATTCTGTTAGAATATCCAAATAAAACATTTTTATAAATAATTTTTTGGTCAAATCTACTAAAAATAACAACTTTATCCAATTTAATCATATTATTTTAAAATATTTCAAGAAAAATTATTCTTTTCTTAATTTCTAAAAAGTTTAATATAAATTATATTTAAGTTTTCCCTCTAATTTTTTTTTTCATAATCAATATTTAACAAAAAATATTTTTACATTTTTTGACAAAATGTATTTTAAGAAATACTATTTTTTTCATAAATATTAAATTTAAATTTTTAAAAAAGAAAAATTCTTTAAAATTAATTTTTATTTTATTCTGATAAAAGTTTAATATAAATTATATCCAATTTATTCTCTCTAATTTTTATATAATTAATAAATAATACAATTTTTATATAATTAATAAATAATACAATTAATAAAATTTATTCTAGAAAAAACCAAAAAAAAAGTATTTCATTTTATTAATATTATTTATTTTCTTATAAATATAAATATATATTTTTAATTATAATTTTTAACAAAACTAGTATTAAAATAGCTTTCCGATGGACTCTCCAGAAAAACTACTAGCAGTATTTTTTACTAAAATGGTTTAGGACAAAAAGAGTAACTTAAATTTTTCACACAAAAAGTAGTATCTTAGTCCTAGCTACCACCCTCCAGTCAAACCCACATTCTTTGACCAAAATAAATCCCAAAAAAAGAACATTAAAATATATATTAAATTAAAAAAAATCCCAAATATTATATTCTTAGTGGCAAAATAGCAAATTTTCCATGGTCAAAGAAAACCATTCATTTCACACAACCTTCTAAGAAATTACGCCACCCAATCAAAACACAAACCACCTTAATCCTTGTATTACATTTACGTACATGAACCTTGCCCACTTTTTTTTTTGTCTCTCCTTATATTAATCTCTTCCATTTCTCATATTCAAAACTTTTTCCAAATCTTCAAAACTTATCTATCTTATGGCATCTTCCTCTAGTAATTTAGATACCAATCATAATAATAATATTAATAATAATATCAATGGTTTGAACTCTTTCAACCATTTTTCATTCTCAACAACTCAACCTTTCATGACGACTAGTTCTTTCTCTGACCTTTTAGCTTCCCCTCTTGATGAGAATGACAACAACTCGAGAAATGATTATGGTGTTCCTAAGTTCAAGTCTACACCTCCTCCTTCTTTGCCTTTGTCACCGCCTCTCGTTTCTCCTTCCTGTTTTTCTATTCCTCCTGGTTTGAGTCCGGCTGAACTACTTGATTCGCCTGTTTTGTTGAACTCTAACAATGTCGGTTTCTTCTATTCTCTTCACTTTTCATTTTTTTTTATCTTGAGAAATGAAAGTTTTGAACTTTTTATACTTCATTATCATGTTCTTATGTTCAAAACAATGACTTTGGTTTTAGACCAGACAACATGCTTGAACATGTTTTTTTTCTGCTTAGAAAAATTTGAAGATTTTTTATTTTTTATTTATTTTTTGTGTTGCTGAATTTATGGACATGTTTTTTTGTTTTTGATACAGGTTTTGCCATCTCCTACAACTGGTGCTTTTGCTGCTCATAGCTACAACTGGAAGAACAATTCTGAGGGGAATCAACAAATTGCAAATTTTTCTTTTCAAACCCAACAGGATCATGCTGTTTCTGCATCCAACACATCTTTTCAATCATCAAACGTTGGAATTCAACAAGTATGTTTGTTGCAACCGATTCTTAAAGCATTTATTGCACATTTTAGACTATTAGTGTGTTTGGTTTACCAAAAACTAACTTTAGATATTAAAATAAATATTGAATTTGGATTTACCGCAGTTAAAAAATGTCATTTGTTTGTATGGTTGTTATAGCGATGATCGTTGGATCAAGATCAATCGATGCATCATAGAAATTCTCACTTATGTGAAATTCTATGTTTTTTAGTACTATCTTATTGCTCTAAACATGTTCAATTTTTTTTTTTTTAATGTAGCAGCAACAGCCATGGAGTTATCAAGAAAGCACAAACCAAGAAGGCTATTCATCTGGAAACAATATGATGCAAGGTGAAAACAACAATAGTTCTATGCAGATTTATTCTCCGGAGTTTGCTAATGTTCAAATGAACAACAACGTGATGAATAACAATGGAGTTCAATCTGATTACAACAATTACCAACCAGTACCGCTGCAACAAGTTCAAACCTTGAATAAGAAATCAGACGACGGGTACAATTGGAGAAAATACGGACAAAAACAAGTGAAAGGAAGTGAGAATCCGAGAAGCTATTACAAATGCACGTACCCGAATTGTCCTACGAAGAAAAAAGTTGAGAGATCCGCCGAGGGACATATTACTGAGATAGTTTATAAGGGCACTCATAATCATCCTAAGCCTCAATCTACTAGGAAAAACTCTTCGAATGGTCTTGTGATTGTTCCTGCTAATCCTAATGGAAATGAAATCATTGATCAATCATATGGATCATTTGGTAATGGACAAATGGATTCCGGTGCTACTCCTGAGAATTCGTCAATTTCAATTGGCGGAGATGATGATTTTGAGCAGAGTTCTCATCAAAAGAGTAGATCCGGTGGCGGTGACGACTATGATGATGATGAGCCTGATACTAAAAGATGGTAAGTTTTTTTGTTTCATGGTTTTAAATTACAGTTGTGATACTGTTTTCTATATTGTGGTTAAGGAATCATTATGTAGTTATATTTTTATGGCTAATTTAATCATGCATAATTGTTTCTTTAGGAAAAATGATGGTGAAAATGAGGGTATTTCAGCACCTGGAAGCAGAACAGTGAGAGAACCTAGAGTTGTTGTTCAGACAACAAGTGACATTGATATTCTGGATGATGGTTACAGATGGAGGAAATATGGACAGAAAGTTGTCAAGGGAAATCCAAATCCAAGGTAAAAAAGTAAAAATAAAACTCACTTTAGATTCTACTTTAGTCCTATTTCTTAAAGTTTGATCTACTATTTTGAGTATCCAATGATGGATTTTCTCACTCCCATGATAGTATATACAATTGTTACCTAGTCAAATGTGGTAAAAACATTACAACAACATAATGAATTGTATTTATTTCTGTCTTTTTTTAGGTACATAAGCCTAATAATGGTTTGCTTTTTTGGAGAATTTCACATTTGGCTATAAATTGTAGTACCAATTTTCCTTGTTTATACTTAGTCAAATTCGGCAACTTTAGTATTTCTCAAGTACGCATACCATTAACATAACACTGACGCTTTATATTGTAGGTGTGCCTATATCAGACACATCTAATATCTGACATTGACACTTGTTGTTACATTTAGTTATTTATATTTTCAAGTTATTAATGTTGTCGACGTGTGTTTGTGTCAACGTTTGTGCTTTGTAGTTTCTAGAATGAGTTATATCTAATCTTGTGTTTCGATTATGTGTTGTAGGAGCTACTACAAATGTACACACCCAGGTTGTCCAGTGAGGAAACATGTTGAGCGTGCCTCCCATGATTTGCGGGCTGTGATCACAACATATGAAGGGAAGCACAACCATGATGTCCCTGCTGCTCGCGGAAGCGGAAGCAACTCCATAAATCGACCAATGCCAAACAACCCTTCAAATCCAAACAATGCGGCCACTGCCATAATGCCACTACAGATTCAAAGGCCACAACAACCAGCACAACAAGTCCAATCCCAATCCCATCCTTTCAACATAAACATGCTGCAGCCTCAAGGAAGCTACGGATTTTCAAGGTTTTTGAATCCAATGGAGTCTTACATGAACCCTCAACAGCAACAGCAACAGCATCAACAACAGCAGCAGCAAATGTCTGAGAATGGTTTTTCCTCTAGGGCTAAGGAGGAACCTAAGGATGACATGTTTCTCGAGTCATTGCTATGCTGAAAAAATTCTTTCATTTTTATTAGCAGGTACTATAGCACCAAAAAAGATTTTAGGATTCTATTTATTTTTACAAATAAGAAAAAACTTCATTTCATTGATTTGTTGGATTTGTTTTCTTGGAATTTGGTTTTTTTGTTGTAAATTTATACAACCATAGGTTTGGTATAGTTTGCAATTGTTTCATTACTTTTTCATTACCCTTGTTTCATATGTTATAAACAAAATAATACTAGAACAATTTTCATATACTTGGTCAAATATGGTTGCTAGATTATTTTTTTTATTGGTAAACTAGTCAAGGTCAACTTTGGTAGTTTTCTACTTTTTTAGTGTCTCTATACATATATGGATGTTTCCAGGTTGCAACCTAGTGGGTCAGTTAGCCATCCATGTTGTCCTATATGAATGAAAATACAAAATTACCCTTTGCTGCTTCATAGCATGGAATCAAAATGGCAAGTTTTAAAAGGACAATTTTGAAAGAAAAAGTTTTGGGACTTTTTGTTTATTGTAGGACAAGTGGGAATGAAAGAGACGTTTACGTGATGCACACGTTAGGTGTTAAAATTGATTTGTCCTTAGCTCATTGTCATCATTCATGGTGTAGATACACATGCCTTCCCAAGTTTTCCTCTACACCGACCTTATGGCATCTTTTTGTGCTCATCCACTTATCTTTAATTCTTCTTACTTTCACAAACTCTTATTTTTTACTCACCACCTTTACGAACGTTTCTTGCTCATTATATTTGTAGTGTCATTATCAATGAGATTGATAATTAGGCTTCTTCTTACGCCAAATGTCTTATTACATTTTTTATTTCTAGTATTTTTTAAGATACATTAGCAGGGTATTTAATATTTATTTATTTGAGATGCAAATCGAGACATAAATAGATAACATCTGTATAGATGAGATCATAAGATATAATAAAAAAATGATGTTGCCGTGTTCATAAATACGCTAGTGACGTATAGTGACACCACTGATAATGTCAGCAATTTGCAATGCATTTATTATTCATCAGCTCAAAGTTTTATTGATTTAAAAAATACATCGTGTTAAAAGTGAGAGATGGTTTTTTTGACATCATAATTTGAATTTTGAGTATGGAATTATTTTATTTTATTTTTCTTTATATTTATGAAATCTATATAAGAGTTAATTTGGAGTATATTTTAGTCGAGGTTTATTTACTCTCATGATTTTAAAATATCTTATTTGTTTGAAATCACAAAATTGATGGACTGTGCAAAAAGAAAAAGAGTAAATTGAAAGAAAAATAATTGAGGATGAAAATATTTCATTAACTATAAGTTAAGGGTGTCTCCAACATTTATATTGACATTACATGATGATAGGGATATATGTTATTTAAACAAATGACTGAATTGTCACCACTTATACTAAACTTGTAATGGGTTAGTTGCTACAAAAAAATAATTCTTTTTCAACGGTAATTGTTTTTATGTGATTATATTAACTGATTACACCCACGATGTTTTTGTTGTTTCTTCACCGATTTGGTGATTACATTAACCGATTACACCCACGATGATTTTCCTGTTTCTTCAGTTCAAAAGTGACTTTTACCTTACTGTAACCAGTTACACCCATGTGTTAACTTGTTACAGCATTTGAATTATCAAAAATACTTTTAACACACCACCTTAATTCAAGCGCTCTAAGTCTTCCATGCCCATGTTCATCTTCAACCTCTTGAACACATCATTTGGAACTCCCTTAGTCGATAAATCAGCCACTTGATTTTCACTTCTACAATATTTCAATCTTAACATTCCTTCACTAACAAGTTCTCTCATGTAATAAAACATCATCTCAATATGCTTGCTCTGTTAGAATTTTGGGTCACAAATATAACATTTAAGGTGTCAATGCCATTATTTTAATTAGTTAACACTTAAAGGGGTCTAATTAATAAAATATTAAGTTTGTGGCAAAAATCATTGATCTAACCTGACGATCAGAAAGTGTGGCCAGTAACACGTCTGCAGCAGCAACGGTCAATAAGGGGAAGAAAATGGGGTGTACCTGAAGACACTCCGATGTTTAAGTTAGTTTGGGTGAAGAGGTAGCAAGAAAGAGTTAGAGAATAGAATACCTGATCCTCCTGCAGAGGAGGGTTTTTATAGAGAGCCCCTAGCGCTGGGCCAATGGTCTCTATTATGGGTTGTGGGTTCAGGCCCATAACGGATGGCTGCCAGGATTCCTACATGGAGGTAGGGATGAGCAGCTCGTGATCATCGTCCGGGGTTAATCACTCCTCATTTCCCGGTTAGTGGAAGGACTTGCCCGTTATAAAGGGCAAAAACGTACCACGAGGCGCGCGAGACGGTTGGTGACATCTCCTCAGGTGAGGAGCACATGCGGAATGTGCTTTCTACTGACCACAATGGGTTGGGCCAGCATTCTGGGCCGTCCATGACGTAGGACTAGATTGGGCTATGCTCGATGTTGGGTTAGCTACACGCCCATTCCATAACAGAACCCCCCAAGTCGTTGTTGAAATTCTGGTACGCAAATACCAGATGTCGAGATAGATGTCACAACACTGGGAGCAAAACAACTTGATCACAAATAAATATACATAAACTTAAATGACAGAAAAGTAAAATCACACCAATAGTAGTTAACCCAGTTCGGTGCAACTCACCTACATCTGGGGGCTACCAAGCCAGGAAGGAAATTCATTATGATAGTATTAGTTCAAAGCTAAACTCCCCCGTTTACAACTTCTCGCCTAATCACTACCTAATGTAACTTCTACCTAGACACTCTCTAGATATGAGACCCCTCTCTCACTTCCTAATCAGTCACAAACCAGTGACAATTCAACAACTATCCAAAAAGAAGTACCAACCCTTCCAAGTACATTACTTAGTTTTACTTAAAAGTTTCAACCAAGAACAATACACTCTTGCTTAAAAGCTTTAGAGTGAATAATTAACAATGAACAATCAACCTGCCTCAATGCATAAGAAAATACATAAGTAACATGCAAGTAACACACACTAAACCCTAAATACCTACCAAGACACGACTAATCCTTATGCTTCAAACTTCACATAATCTTCAAGCTATAATAGGGTTAGGTCGCCTTCGGTCCACTTGGGCTTGGGCTCTTGAAGCGCAAAAACACCAGGAATAAGTTATAAGTCATAAGCATAATCTCCTGCACAATAATAGGAACAAAATACAAAGTTTCCTAAAAAGGCTCAAGGATCCTTTTTACGAAAACCAACACAATCTGTCAAAACAGAAGTTCCTACAATATCCTCCCTTGGATAATGCAAACGTGTGAATTAAAACACACTAAAAATACCAAAACAGTCATGCTCTAACTTTCTGGTATAACATGTCCTGGCACATGTCACAATATCATAATGAATATGATGTCTGACTGAAATGACAAAATACCCGGCTTAACATCTTGATGGCAACATGTTTTACCAAAATGTTGTCAATACAAATATCACAAACTTACAATCTCCCCATTTGGTAAATTTTGGCTAAAACAACCTTAGTACGCATTAGAGACATACATAGCAGAATCAAAACAGAACCACCAGACAACAAGAACCACAAACCCAAAAGTTGTCAAGGCAGTAAAGCACACCTAACACGATAATGTCAAGACATGAAGTCTGACATCACAGATAAAAGAGAACAACACAAGCTACATGAAAACATGTAAGCTTTGTACAAACTACAACTTTGCAGCTATAAATCAGACAGGTACAAAGCTCCCTTTGTCATACATAACCAGTACTCCCCCTAAAGGGGAAAACAAAAATCACAAGAAAATACACATGAACTCTAGCAAGTTCATACAATAGAACTTCAAACTTCAAAGACACCAAACACAAGCACACCCCCCCTGAACATCACAACATACTTTAGAGAAAATGCATTCTCTTAGACACAACATATGGTTCCACGTCAGCAGTAGCAAGAATGACAGACTATCATGTTCCCCCTAAAAGTTGCATACACAGAAGCAACAACAATAAAAAAAAATACTCTTCCTAAGCAGTAGTATGAACATGGCATAAAGTCATGACATCTAATCCAATATCAGAAACATCAAACATACAACACTTTACTCCCCCTTTTCAGCCAAAAATTGACAAAAATAGAGTAAATGTAAACAACATAAATGGAAACATACAGATGGAAGCAAACACAAATAACACTAATGGAAATACACAATAACAGATAAAATCACACAATCAGATCATATGTAGATGATCTTCCACCTATTTTGTCTGTCAAAGATCCTTCTACACTCCTTGAAGCTATCATATGGTTTAGGAGTGTTGATATCAAACTCCTTCCTCACAGCCATAAAACACATCTTCTTCAAACCAATATTTCTATCTTGCAAAGATCCTTTATTCCATCCATTAACAGCTGTCACTTGCTCAGGCCTACCAAGCATTAGAGAAAAGAGGAAAGATGCAATATGTGTCGCATTCCTCCATATTTGTAATTACTACAACTCTTCAACAGTGCTAGTTCTCATTTCACAGTTTATGTCCTCAAGATAATTTCCATATGAAGCATTAGTAAACATAACAGTCAGTTGATCCTTACTGTCCACACACTTTAAAACGACAACCTTTCCTTCATCAAGACTCCTGATTAGTTGATTATACCTGTAAAGATTCTTGTTCTTGGTGAAATATTCGATAACATTCAGACCTTTATAATATAGTGTCAGAACATCAGCCTTGTCATCATGTTTCTTCAATATTTGTTTCATCCACACTAATTGAAAGCAACCTCCTCAAATTTCACCATACTCAACTTTAGTAGTACACCAAGAAACACATCTTTGCTTCTTGTTAATCCAGACAGTCAGAATTTTTGTCAGAGATGAACCGTCATACATATCACTCACCCATTCTATCTGCATAATATTTTCAGCATAACCTTTGTGCTATAGGAGTAATGCATATCACAATACCTTGTTCCAATG